TCTCACTTAAAAACTCCAACCCCCACTTTAAACAACCCCCTCCACTAGTGCCCACTCATAGCTCACTTGGAGGAAGACACACACTGGGGTGGGTGCGGGGGGGGGGGGGTCTGAAAGACAGCAGGCAGATCTTGGTGTCATGTGTGCTGGTGCACTTTCCTAGCCCTCAAATGCTCGACTATTTTAGCTAAGTACCTAATCCCACTTCAATTCTTGGCCATGGTCAATAACAGCAAGTGAGTAGCTAACCTTGAGAGGGTACAGCCTTCATTTTACCCTCAGCTGAAAGATTTGTAAATGAAGTTTGGGGAAGGTTAAGTGACAGCTGGAAGGCCACAGAGCAAACAGCAGGGCCAGGATTCAAACTGGGGTCTAACTGGTGGTATCGGTCTTTGGAGCAGGCTAGAAAAAAATGAGACTGGACGGGACACCAGGAGGCCATTTAAGCCCTCCCCCATCACCCTCCCCAGGACATCAGATAACACTGGACTGCTAGTGTAGGGCCAGGAATTCAGGAAACAAAGTCCAGCTCTGGGCAACAGAGAGTAAAAAGGTCAAAGAGCAAGATCCTGAGACACTTCTGCTTCTCAGCACAAACTTTCAAGACGACATGTTGTTTGTATACAATCGCTTTGGGGAGACGGGGTAAAAACTTCACTCTAATAAACAAGACACTGTGAAGCTGTGATCAGAGAAATAGAAATTCATGGAACTTTTCTAAAAAAACTAATCCGTATCAAGTTTTCAGAAACACGCACCCTTTAGTCTAACAATTCCCACTCTAGACATGAAAGAAAAAAAAAAAGAGAGAAAACTTAATAATCATGTGCAAAATTAGCGGAATTAAATTAAAATATGTTCATGTGTTAGAACATTAGGCAACTATTTAAAACATCATTTTGGAGATGCTCACAATGTAGTATTTTTGAAAACTTAAGAGTTCAACCCAATTTTGTTACTCGTATGTAAAAAGACTGGAATAAAAATGGATTTAAAAGGTTTTATAACATTTAACATCACCTTCACATTCTGTATTTTCCAAACTCTTTAAAATGACCACATACTACTTTTGTTTAAAGAAAAAAACCCTTATGATCTCATTTCTAAATGTGGACCAACCAGTGCTACTCTCCTTCAAAGTTTCATCAAGAATGGGACAGGTGGCTGCTTTGCCCAAACTATGACACTGGACTCATTCTTCATCTATTTCTGTAAAATGGGACACATCCTATGATTTATGCTGGGAATATGGATGCAATATAATGAAGTTTAATCACCTGAGGACTATTTACGTTAAAAAATTGCTTTTAAAAACACCCTTTACTGTATCAGGAGTACAAATTTGGGGTGCACATTCCAGACTGTTTTATGTGCCTTATTAGCACTTAAAACCATTCTCTAACAATGAACCATTAAAAAAAAAGGAATCAAACCATGCAGATTGTGCTACATATCAACACACTGACATCCTTGCACTTTCACTTCCTCATACTTTTAAGTGGCCACATCATACTCCATTAAGCTTTTGTTTTAACCCCTCTGTAAAAGCACCAGAAAATCAATGCTGTTGACAACCAATCAACGCGTGTCTCTCCCTCTCCCAGCAATGAAAAAAAAAAAAAAAAAGTCCTTGGGTGAGGATTAAAAAAAGTTATTGCGTAGCCTCAAAAATTTAGTTACCATGAACCAACAATTCCACTCCTAGGGAACCATCCAAGAGAAATTGGTATGTCCACACAAAAATTTGAATATGAACATTCACAGCAGCACTATTCACAATAGCCAAAAAGTGGAAACAACCCAAATGCCTACCAACTGATGAATGGATAAGATGTTGTATATCCATATAACACAATACCATTCAGACATAAAAGGGATACTGATTAATGCTCCAGCACAAACCTTGAAAAACATTATACTGAGTAAAATCAGCCAGACACAAAAAAATTATGTGTTGTATGATTTCTGAAATATACAGAATAGGCAAGTACTGATTTAAATTATACACTTTAAATTGGTGAACTGTATCATATGTAAATTATACCTAAGTAAAGCTGTTAGACATAATTTATATTCAATAAGTGCTTGGGCAATGAATACACTATAAAGAACATACATACCAAAGTCGTCATTGTACAATCTTACTATCTTTTTGTCTTCCCTTGTACATAGTAAGAGCTCAGAAACTGTTGAAATGGATTGGCCAATCACATACACACGAAGTCAGAATATTAAAAAGAAAGTGCTCGATGTGTTTTTTTTAAATATCAAGTTTTTATTGACAACATGAGATTCACATTGAAAAATCCCATCCATACCTGTTTATTATTATGCATTTTATCTCTCTATTAAAACATTTTTCCAGATCAGGGTTGAACCACAGTCAAAACCCACTCACCACATTTCAAACTACCAAATGGGAAATACACAGTAGAGAGTGCACAGAAACAACTGCATGCCACACTCTTGACTTTTCCAGAGAACTTAAGGTTCCTAGTTAAAATTCACATTCCCTGTAAATCACTATGAATTGTGTCTGCTGTTAACAGTATTTATTCACTTGAGGAATTATTTACAGTGACCACTATGGACATGCCAAATTCTTGCTCAATTATCTCGCCAATTTTTTCACTCAAAGAATGTTTTAGGTGCTCTTTTTTCTAGGTAATAAGGATACAACAGAGAATAAAAATAGGCAAAGTGAAGCAAACAAAACCTTGCCTTCATGGAATTTAGGAGTCCAGTAAAAGGAAAATAATTTAAGAAAATTTTATTTTTATAAACCCCAGTCTTATGAATTAAATGTCAGCATCAGCAAGAAATCCCTACAATCCTCATTTTGCAAATGTGAAATGTCCAGTCTTTTCTAAACCCCCCAAATCATTAATTTATTAAATGTTAGTAGCAGTTTCCAATGACAGGCTTTTCTTTCAATTTCTACAGATTTGCAAAATACAAAGACAAACATTATCTACTTCACAAGTTTATTCAAAATCAAGAATCCAAACACTTTACATGCATATAATTGTGAAAGACGACAGTGGGTTGTCAGACTTAACAGCCCAGAATTTTCAAATCACCAAAATGGTTTTTCCCTTTAGAAAATAAGACTCCAATCTCCCTCTAGAATCTGTAACTCTCAAGGCGTTCAATAACCTGAATCGTGTAACACAAAAAATATCCCCTACATCTAAAAGCAAGAGTGCAATGTAGTACTACAAAGATCACAACAACTGGCTCAAAAAGATAACTTTTGGAAACAAAGTCTAAGACATTTATTCCACAGCTTGAGCCCTTAGATACTATGTTTCCTACCAAGGAAATGGGTAGGATGGACAACGGGGGTATGCATTTGGTTTCAGATCAGTCTTTTCCTTCTCCACTAGGTCAATGGAAACCATCTGCGAGTTTTATCTGCCCCACGTTGAGGCATTTGGGGAGAAGGGGTGGGTTATCTACAATGCCTTGCTGAAAAGATGCTCCCTAGCCAAATTAAGCCGAAAGGAATGTTTTATTAAAATTATTGGCAAGGTCATAAAACTGTGCCATCCAAAACCTTCTTGAAATTGAAATCGCCTTCATAAATCCTGTAAAATATCGCTTCCTTTGCAACTTTCAAGGGCTACCAATTCCAAGGACTCACAATTTAAGGAACTTGACAGCTTCATTCATGAAAATCTCCCAGCTGTTGTTATAGCACCGAAGGGCCTCTGGCTTAGAGATACAGTGAGACTTGGTTTTGGTATACGGACAGCTACAACCCACTCAAAGGTAAGCAAAGACACTTCAATTTTCATGAGGCACAGACTCTATCCAAGGAGTCACTTCTTGCATCAAATTCACAGGTAAAAAATTAACCCAAGGACCAAGACCAAAACCCTACCAGGTTGCACGAAACAGTGAATGAGTAAACAACTAAATAAAAACACTTCAAAAAACAATGCCTGGTCTTGATAAAAGGGAGGTCAGTCAGCCACTCAGCAAAAGCACATGACTCATCCAACAGCCCGAACACCGTCCACTACACCAAAATGGGATTTCCCCATCTTCGTCCAAGGCCGGGCCTTGGGGGCGTCTCAATCGGGTAAAGCTGTGCTATTTCCGTTGGCGGGGGTCATTTTATTTCGCTGAATCACACCTCCATCACATTCCCACCCCAACTACCACCCTGTACAACCAACACCGCAAACAGATGAGACCGAGGCAAGGACGCCAAGCGAGCACCGACCGAGCAAAACAAAGCGCCCAACGAGAGGCTGCCAGGCTGGCTGTAGTTGGGTAAAGGGGGCCAGGTTCGCCCCCAGGGCAGGCGTGCAGCGGCAGCCAGTTCCTGGGGAACAGCCGTATTTTCCGCAAAGCTCTGGGGACACTCGGGAAGGTGAGGAAATGGGGACGGGGGCGTGCTGCCCCAGTACGGGAAGAATCAAGGTGCTGGGGCAGGGAAAGAGCGCGTTGGCATCCGCCCGCGTGAGCAGCCGATCTAAGGCCGAGCCCGCCCCGGAGACTGCAACGCCGCGGCCACCACGCTGGGCTCGGACCTACCCGAGTCGGGCGAGTCGCGGGCCCAGCAGCGGCCGCTTCCTCCTCCTCCTCCTCACTTGACAAAATGGCGGCGGCAGGAAGTGCCGGGCGCCTCGGCCCGCCCCCTGCCCGCCCCCGGCCGCCCGCCCCGGCGCGGCGCCCGCGCCCCCCGCCTGCGCCCCCGCCCCGCCGACCGGCTCGAGCCCGGGGGCGTCGGTGCCAACGACGAGGCAAGCCAGGGGCCCGATGCCCCGATGCCGACAGCGAAGACGACCTCAGGACGAGCGGGTGGCACGGGGACAAGGGAGGCCCGCAGGCCTGAGCCCGCGTCGCCCCGGCCTCCCCGCCCTCGCGCCGCGCCGATGGCGTCGGAGCTGGCGCACCGGTCCCATTACGCAATGCAGGTGACGCGGGCCGCGCCGGGAGCGCTCGCCGACCGCCTCGCGCAGCCCGCCGCTCCGAAGGGCACCTACCCTCACCTGAAACGCTAGGCCGCACGCCGCCCCCGCCGGCCGCCGCAACCTCCTCCTTGGGCTGCTATGCGGCGTCGGAGCCCGCCTGTCGCGCCCGCCGCTCCGCCGCGCTCACAGGCCCCACTCGCCGGCGAGTACCGCCGGTAGCCGCCACCGTCGCAGCCACTGCTTCGGCTCCTCGGCTGCGGGAGAGCAGAACAAACAGCCCTGCCGCCGCCGCCGCCGCCGCCGCCGCCGCCGCCGCCAGCGCACTGACGTCACTGCGCATGTTGCGAGCGTGGCCTAGTGTCGCCTCCGCCCGGCGTGCGCGCCCCCGAGGCCGTGGAGGCGCGCGCGAGCTCCGGAGGTTAGGCTTCTGAGAAGTACGCTTTGCATGCACGCGGGACTGGAGGGTATTCTGCAGATTAAGAGGATTCCTCAGATGAAGGGTGGGGGACCCCGCAGACTGGTTGAGGGGCCCGGAAGACCAAGGGAGAGGACTCCGAAGACCCCGAGAGGAGGATGAAGGGACCTCGCGGACAGGATTTCTGAGAGAAAGGATTTCTGAGACCCAGTTCAGACTGAAGGAGGGGACCGAGGGGAGACTGAAGACTGCGCGCGCTTCAGGGAAAAAAAGATCTGAAGGCAGAGGGAGACGTCCAGAATTAAAAATATATATTTGATGATAGACCCTCGAAGAGGAAGGACGGTGAGGAGAGACCCTAAAGACTTATGGCAGAGGCTGAGGAGAGACACCTGTGTGAGGGAGCGCCTCTCCCCGGAGTGGAGCCTGCAAGGTGTGGGAGGAGTTGGCGAGTGTTGGGTCGCTGAGGCGAGAGATGTGCGAAGGGTGCGCGAGCACTGGGGTGAGAGAAAGAGTTGAAGAGGCTATGACCAATACCAAAGTGACACCTTACTTTTGCTGAGATGTAAAGACTGGAAGGTGCTGGACTCGGGCCTAGGGCACTCTCCCTCCATTTGTCCCTCAGCTGACCTCCTTCTGGTCCTTAAGACTCAAACCACACAAGTCAGCTCCATTAAATGAAGAGATTAAGATTTAAGTCATTTGCAGCTTAAAATGACGATGCTGTGGAATTTTTCAAAGGAGAAACGTAACCTCGCTTTCCTTTTGCTCTTATCTTTACTCTTGGCATTTTTAGTCCCACTTTTTAAAAAGAGCAGACTCAAGTTATTCTAAAAATTATAGGTAATTAAAATATTTCTTGATGGCCTTTTCTTTCAGAATACATTGATACACTAGCATAGTAGTCAGTAGTTTTGTCTCTACCAGGGTGTTTGCTCACTTCAACAAGAGCAACCACAAATCACTGATGAGTCCTGGGCACGATAAAGACTTAATGTTTACCCTTTATTTTAGCAAAGCATGAGGTAACAAACTATTAAGTGTAAAAAATAAATGCAGTAATAGTAATTGGTTTTTAGTAAACTATCTTCTGATTCGCTAATACAGTATTTTGAAGCTCATGAATATCTTCTGGCTCCTAGCTTTGCATGCTGGGCAATCTGCAGAAGATGGTTGGAAATGGAAAAGGAATAGGAAGGTACACAGGGCTAAGTGAATATGGAATAATAACTTTTTTTAAAGGAAACCAGAATGTATCCATTTTAAGCAGCCTCTTTCCACAGTTGTCTTGCATTATCCACTTAATTTATTGTTGCTGCAGACAGTAAATGTCTTTGGAAGTAATTTATAGAGCTCCCAGTTTGCAAGTTACATAATAAAATCTTTCCTTGGACTCTTCATTCACAGTTCATTTTAAACAAAACTATAAAAATTTACTGGGCTTAACTGGAGAGCTTTTGGCTATTGCTAGAAATCAAATCCAACCTGAAGGGTATATGGAAGCTGTAAAGACAGTTCCAAAAGCTGTCTCTAAAAATCTTTTAGGACAACATCTCATTCTTTTTGTCTTCCATAGTGTATAGCCTAACCCCTCACAGATAGCTCATACTCAGAAAATGTTTATACAGTTGAATCATTTTGTAGTCTTATTACTTAATGGTTCACATTTTGATAAGCTCTTTTTTACTTTCTCTTGTTATCACTATGTTTACAATACTAAAACCCAGAAAAGATTAATAAAAATATTAAGGAATGAAATATAAAGTATTATGCTATATAATTTTGACTGGTATTATTTATTTTAATAAGTAATACATGAAACCATTTTAATTGAACAATACAAAAGAATATGGAGGAAAGATAAAAATATCTCTCCCTCCCCCACGAGAGTAACCACTTTGATGTGTTTAAACCCATGTTATCTGATAGCCACTGGCCACATGTGGCTATTGAGTGCTTGAATGTAGGTAGCCCAAATTAAGATGTACTGCCAAGTATAAAATACAAATTGTATTTCAAAGACTTAGTAAGAAGAAATGTGTAAAATACCTCATTACCTTTTTACATTGATTACATATTGAAATAAGTTTATACAGTGGGTTAAATAAAACATAATTAAATTTCATTTTAACCTGTTTCTACTTTTTTAATGTTGTTACTAGAAAATGTAACATTACATATATGGTTAGCAATATAGTCATATTTCTATTGGCCAACACTGGTCTAGACTTTTTATTTTATGCAGTAATATGTGTCTACATATAGAAATAGTTGTGTTGTTATAAAACAAAGGGATCAGGCTTCTGACCAAGATGGAGGCATAGGTAGATATGCTTCACCTCCTCACACAGCCTAAAGAAGTATAACAACCAATTTAAATATAAAAACAACCAGAACTGCCAGAAAATTGAACTGTATGGAAGTTAGACAACCAAGGAATTAAAGAAGAAACATTCATCCAGACCAGTAGGAGGGGCAGAGAAGGGCAGCTGGGACAGACAGGATGCATAAAAGGACAGTGGGTGGTGGACTGAGCAGTCCCACACTCACAAGGATAAACTGGGAGGAACAATTGGGGAATGAGACAGACTATGCAAACCAGGGTTCCAACACTGGGGAAATAAAAACCTCAGAGCCTCTGGCTGTAAAAATCTGTGGGGGTTGTGGTGGCAGAAAAAACTGCCAGTCTCTCAGGAGAGTCCGTTGGAGGGGCCCAAAGGGTCCTAGAATGTACACAAGCCCACGTATTCAAGGTATCAGCACCAGGGCATCAACCACATGGATGCCAGTCATTTGTAGGAAGCAGGGAAGTTACTGAAAGCAGAGCAAGAGCCAAGCAGCAGCACTGTTCCCTCTCTGACCCCTCCCCCACATACAGTGCCACAACACAGTAAAGTGGGTTGCCCCACCTTGGCGAATATCTAAGGCTTCCCCCTTTACAACATAACAGGTGCACCCAAAGATATATGGTCCAAATGAAACAACATATCAAAACTCCAGAAAAAGAACTGAGTGCCAAGGAGATATAGTCAACCAATCAGATGCAGAGTTCAAAACACTGGTAATCAGGATGCTGAGAGAAATGGTTAAGTAAGGCTGCAAAATAAAGGAAGAAGTGAAGACTATTCAAAGGGAAACAAAAATACACAGGAAACCAACAGTGAAGGGAAGGAAACTGGGACACAAGTCAATGATTTGGAACAAAGGGAAGAAATAAACATTCAAACAAAACAGAATGAAGAAACAAGAATTTTTTAAAAAATGAGGAGAGGCTTAGGAACTTATGGGACAACTTTAAGCACTTCAACATCCAAATCATAGGGGTGCCAGAAGGAGAAGAGGAAAAGCAAGACACTGAAAACTTATTTGAAAAAATCATAAAAGAAAACTTCCCAAATCTGACAAAGGAAATAGACATACAAGTCCAGGAAGCTCAGAGAGTCCCGAGCAAGTTGGACTTGAATACAGCCACATCAAGACACATATAATTAAATTGCCAAAGATTAAAGATAAAGAGAGAATCTTAAAAGCAGCAAGAGAAAAGAAGAGTTACCTACAAAGGAGTCCCCATAAGGCTATCAGCTGATTTCTCAAAAGAAACCTTGCAGGCAACAAGGGGCTAAAAAGAAGTATTCGAAGTCATGAAAGGCAAGGACCTACATCCAAGATTACTCTACCCAGCAAAGCTATAATTTAGAATAGAAGGGCAGATAAAGTGCTTCCCAGATAAGGTCAAGTTAAAGGAGTTCATCACCCAGCCCTTATTGTATGAAATGTTGAAGAGACTTATCTAAGAGAAAAGAAGATGATCAAAACTGTGAACAGTAAAATGCCAACAAATTCACAACAATCAACAACTGAACCTAAAAAAAGAAAACCTAAGCAAACAAGTTGAATAGGGACAGAATCACAGAAGTGGAGATCACATGGAGGGTTATCAGTGGGCGGAGGGGGGCATGGAGAATGGGGGAAAAGGTACAGGGAATAAGAAGCATAGTTGGTAGGTAAAAAATAGAGGGAGGTTAAGAATATTGTAGGAAATGGAGAAGCCAGGCCCTGGCTGGCATAGCTCAGTGGATTGAGCGCGGGCTGCGAACCAAAGCATTGCAGGTTTGATTCCCAGCCAGGGTACATGCCTGGGTTGCAGGCCACAGCCCCCAGCAACCGCACGTTGATGTTTCTCTCTCTCTCTCTCTCTCTCTCTCTCTCTCCCCCCCTCCCTTCCCTCTCTAAGAAAATAAATAAATAATTCTTTAAAAAAACAAGAAATGGAGAAGCCAAAGAACTTATATATGCGACCCATGGACATGAACTAAGTGGGGGCATGCTGGAGAAAAAAGCTGGCAGAGAGGAATAAAGGGAGAAAAAATGGGACAACTATAATAGCATAGTCAATAAAATATACTTAAAAAATAAAACAAGGGGATCATTCTGTACCTGTTAATTTGTAACATGTTTTTTTTCAATTTAATACATATTTGAAGTCATTCTACTTGGATACTTGGAAATCTGCCGAATTAGGAGATAACTTGAAGATAATATTGGATATATAATAATTTAACTATTCTATTATGTGTGTTTAATTAATTTCCAATTATTCCATTGTAATCAGAATTGCAATGATCCTTATACATTTCTCATTTTCTTTTCATACTTGCCAGGATTTTTCCATGTTAATATAATTACATAGTGTTCTCTTAAAAGCAAGAATAAATCTATGTAGCATGATCAGCTTTGGGAAAGCTGGGGGTATTTAATTTGTTATGGCCTGAATTCAGGTCCACTCCCCAATGATAACTTGCCCACGAGGTTTCATTATGGAATTTATAGTTTGATCCTAGAGATGGTGAATGAGTCACTCAAGATCACACATTACACAGTTTAGAACTCAGAACTCCTGACTCCATTAAGATTTCCAGCATCTTTCCTTTAGCCTAGGAGTTAACAACTTTTTTTTCTATAAAGAGCCAAGTGGTCAGTGTTTTAGACATTGTGGCCCAAATGATCTCTATAACATTGCCAATCTTTGTAGCACTGCCATTGTAGCACAAGAGCAGCCATAGTTAACATGTAAACAAATGGTTGTGGCTGTATTCCAGTAAAACTTTATGGATACTAAAATTTAGATTTCATGTAAATTATAGGAATCAAAGTAATATTCTTTTGATCTTTTCCCCCCAAAATCAGTCTTTGCCATAGAAAAACAGACAGCAGTTCAGTCCAAGCAAGTAGTTTGATGACCCCTGCTCTAGTCTCTAAAGTCTAGAGAAATGGAAATTTCTTTACCATTATACAGGAGCTCTTCTGCTTGCAGGTTTTTTTAATTAATAGATTTTTAAAGCAGCTCTAGACATACTAAAATTCAGTGGAAAGTACGGAGTTTCCATATACTCCTTCACTTCCCTTCTCTGACTTCCCTTATTGTTAACATCTTGTATAGTGTGGTATATTTGTTAGAGTTAATGAGCCAATATTGACACATCATTATTAACTAAACTCTATAGTTGACATTAGTGTTCACTCTTTGTGTTGTACATATTCTACAGTTAAAGCAAGTACAAGGAGCAATCTATAGATGTTTCTAACATCGATGTTTCTCACTCTTTCATCTATAAACATATTCTCAGGTAAGGATTTTTAAAAAATAGCATTTTTCCTACGAGCCTACACTGAAAACACCCTTAAGTCCATTCATGGCAGAATGAATATATTATAACATAATGAAAATGAACAAACCACAGCCACCCACAACACAGATGAATCTTACAAACATAATGGGAAATCAGGGAAGTGAGATATACATACGTATGTGATCATCTCTTTTCGATCTAGATTTCTAAAACAGATATAAATAGGCTGAAGTTCTTAAGGAAGTAAAACTACAAGAAAAATAAGCATGTAAATATAACACTGGTTACCTGAGAGGGTGATCAGGAAAAGATGAGGAGATTTGGTGGGGATGGTCAGTTTCTGAAGTTATCAGATTTCCATTTCTTTCCATTTTCAAAATTTAGGTTCTTTGCTGTTGTTGTTTTTAGAAAAAAGGGAAGGTAGGGAGAGAGAGAGGGAGAGAAACAGCTATATGAGAAAGAAACATCCATCAGTCACCTCTTGTACACACCCCGACCGGGGACCAAACTGACAACCCAGGCATGTGCCCCGACTGGGAATCACTGTAACCTTTTACTTTGCAGGATGATGTTTAACCAACTGAGCCACAGTGGCCAGGGCTTAAAATTTAGGGTTTTTTTAAAAAAGACTGTATTTATTTACTTTTAGAGAGAGGGGAAGGGAGAGGGAAAGAGAGGGAGAGAAACATCAATGTGTGGTTGCCTCTAGCATGCCCCCAGCTGGAGATCTGGCCCACAACCCAGGCATGTGCCCTGACTGGGAATCAAACCGGAGAGCCCTTGGTTTGCAGGAAAAGAAATATTACATGTAAAGAAAACTGTATCTAAGAGAAGTGAATGGAAAAGTTTAGTGATGAACTTGAGTGGACAAACCTGAATGTTTCAATATCACTAGGAAATGAGCAGCACTGCAAGATACCTTCTAGTTTAAGACTCACACAAAAGACTGATAATTTGAAAGCCTAGAGGTTAAGCATGAAAAGTGTTACTGGTAAAATTTTGATGATGGCATCTTCATCTAGATTTATACTAGTATTGTGTGGTAGGCATGACCCCCAAAGATCCCCACCTCCTAGAATTTACACTTCCGTAATCTTCCCTTGAGTGTGGGCTACACCCAAAGTCCTGCTGCTAATGAAAAAGTGATAACACTTTCCTGATGGGTTTTAAAAGAGTTTGACCTTAAACTAGCTGGACTCTTTCCTTTTCAGCTTGCACATTTTGGTAAAGCAAGCTGTCATATAGGAGAGAAACATATGGCAAGGAACTTGGGGTGTCTTCTGGCCAACGGCCAGCAGAGAACTAAAGCCCTCAAAAAAACACCTGCAAGGAAGTACATTCTGCTAACAACCACATCAGCAACATTGGAAGTAGATTCTTCCATAGTCATGCTTTCAGATGAGACGGCAGCCTTGGCCAATACTTTGATAACAGTCTTGTG